CACCTCCTTGGTGGCTCGGCGGCCACCAAGGTGGCTCGGCCACCACCGAGCCACCAAGAGGTGGCTCGGTGGCCGAGCCACCAAGGTGGCCGGCCGAGCCACCTCTTGGTGGCTCGGCATGAGCCGAGCCACCTTGAGGTGGCCGGCCACCTTGAGGTGGCCACACGTGCGCGCGGGCACAGTAAAGGTGGCCTATAAATAGGAGAGGGGGTTGTTCATTTTAAAAGGTTGGATTTTGGAGGAGGCGAAGCCCTGCAGGATTGGAGACTCAGATCTAAAAAAGATCTCAACTTTGGGACATCAAGGACTTGCTCATCCAGATCTGGTGCTCAGCGATCATCAACGTCAAATAAGGCAGGTGTTCGAGAGGATCGGATCTCAGATCTACGTTGCTACACTCCGGATCTAAGCTTGGTCTTAGATCCCGAGACTTGGACGGTTGTTTCCTTGGTGAAACAATCCTCCTCGGCTATTATTTCCTTGGTGAAATAATACCCGTTGTACTGCGTAGATCCGACCGGATCTAGATCGCGCGGTGGTCCACGGCAAACAACCCCGGCGCAGGCAAAGAACCCGCAAAGCGAGCGACCGCAAAACAGGAGCTCGCGATTCGTTCGACAAACAAGGAAACAAAGTTGTAATTTTTATTTCTTTTCAATTTGATTTTCGTTGTAACCGGATCTTATAAAAAGACCGGATCTTTGTAATCGATAGACTATTACAAGAGTGTACAATGGAATCATTAATGAAGAAAACAACAAATTTCCCCGCGAACAGGTTCGAGTATGATTTTTACCACAATGAACAAAAGCGCATAAGAGTCTATTGCCGATTCAAGCACACACATGGTTGCCCTTAGATGTTGCTTGCTTCCCCGCTCAGAAATCCGTCTATCATGTCCATAAAGAATTTTAAATCTACCCACACCTACTGTTAACATGGAGCAAATGCTGGCAACTCAAGGGCATCAAGAAAGTTCATTGCTGGCCAAATACAAGCTGTTTTGAAGTTAGGCCAGATCTTTGTGCAGTTGATATCAAGAACGACATGCTTTCTAATTTTGGCATCAAGATTAACTACAGTAAAGCATGGTGGTGCAAGGAGATAGCTCAACAGGACTTGTTGGTGACGATGATGAGGCTTACGATTCACTAAGATGGTACGTTCTTTTTTATTCTTCTGAAATCACTCTTACGTATTGGTTGCTAACTATACGTATTAGTTATTAAAGTTATTGGTTCATTGTTAAGTATATATGTTGGTTATTAAGGTTGAAGATCAGTTATTATGGTTATGAATCCGTTGCTAAATTTACTGTTTTGTTGTTATATTCATGCAGGTATGAATTCATGGTGCATGCAACTAAACCAGGGAGTCGTGTTGTTGTTGATGCTGATGACGGGAGGTTTAGGTGATTGTTCATTAGTTATAATATCTGTATTGAAGGGTTCATTACTAGGTGTAGACCTCTATTATTTTTGGATGGTACATTTATTAAAGATCGCTATAGAGGCATACTACTTAGTGCCACTGGGTATGACGGCAACCAGAGAATATTTCCCCTTACTTATTGCGTATGCAACCAGGAGAATGAGGTTAACCGGAAATGGTTCTTACAAGGATTGTGGATATTACTGTATGATAGGAAAAATCCTTACCAACCTCCACATCGACTGGTAATAATTTTCAATGCCGACAAAGGTACTAGGGCAGCAGTCGAGGAATTCTTTCTAAATACATTCCATTCAAAGTGTGTTCTATATCTAGTCGAGAATTTCAAAAGGAAGATGAATGATTTTGGGAACAAGGTAAATATCGTCACTACGTTGGGTGACCTGTTACAATCTACAGCTTATAAGTTCACAATTTCTGAATGGGATGATGACATGAAAGAATTGACAGCGATCGATCATATGGCTTACGTCACTGCGATGGAATACTTCCCGGAGAGATGGGCAAACGCGCATTTTTCTAGTATAAGGTAAGATAGCTTGGTTTCAACGTTATTTTATTACAGCACCATTATAGTTGTTTAGGTTAGAGTTAGCCTACAGTTTTCTGTTAATGTTAGATTTTTATTGTTATGGTTAGAATTATTCTTCTAGGGTTTTGTTGTTAAGTTTAGAATTTTGTTGTTAAGGTTAGGACTTTAATGTTTAGGTTATGGTTTTATTGTTAATGTTAGTATTTTGTTGTTAAGGTATAGCAATGTTACTTCAAACGTTGCTGAGTCCTTTAACAGCTGGATAAGAAAGGCACGATTGTTATGAATCTTACCTTTAGTTGAGACCATACGGAAGCAAATAATAGAGCGCATGCATGAAAGGAGGCTAGTGGGTCAGAAATGGTCTAGATACTTATGCCTGGAAGCGAAGATGGTGCTGTGCAATAATATTCAGCATGATAGCTTCTTGACGATTAAACATTCGATGGAAGATATTATGAAGATCGAGTCCAATAAAACCTGCTGTGTAGATTTGAAGAATCGAGCATGTTCTTGTAGGTCCTGGGACATCACTCGCATTCCTTGAAACATGTGTGTGCTGTAATTACATGGATGGGACGAGAAATTTATCATTATTGTGATTGCTACATGACTGTTGATGTGTTCAGAACAAATTATGCACCGATCATCTTTCTCATCCCAGATTACGAGAAGCGCTTTGTACCATCAGAAGAGCGAGTGTTAAAGCCTCCTCTCACCAAAAAAAGACGTGGCAGACCATGCACTAGACAAATAAATAATAGATCACTGAACACTCATCCTGTTAAGTGCTCTCGATGCAACGTGGAGGGTCACAATCGTGCAACCTGTAACGAGCCTATATAGTTTAGCATTTTATTGTCATGTATATGGATTTGATGTTAAGTATATGGTTATAAGTGTTAAGATCATGGCTTGGCTGTTAAGGTTACTATTTGGTTGTTAGGTTTATGAATTTTTTGTTGAAGTTTTGACTTGGTTGTCAAGTTTATTGATTGAATGTTAAGTTTACTGTTATCCACTTGTACTTGGTTGTTAGGGTCACATATTGTTAAAGCCTCCTCTCACCAAAAAAAGACTGGGAAGACCATGTACTAGAAGAGTTTGTTTTGTTAAAAATAGGTCGCTGGACACCCGTCCTGTTAAGTGTTCTCGACGCAACATGGAGGGTCACAATCGTCAAAATTACGTACAAACCTATGTAGTTAAGGCTATGGAGTGGTTGATAAGAATACTGTTTGGTGTCATGTTTACAGAATTTTGCCAAGTATATTGTTAAAATTGTTAAGTTTATGGCTTGGTTATTAAGGCTATTACTTGGTTGTTAAGTTTATCACTTTAATGTTAAGGTTACTGTTATTCACTTGCACTTAGTTGTCAAGGTTACCGAGATATTTTTAATTTGATTGCATTCAATGCATTTCATAGTTCCTAAGGCAGTAGAGTTATCTCACCATCCTCGACTTGTTCCAAGACAGAACCAACATATAACCTTTCTCCTCACATTTACATCTTCTTTATCGTCCCATCACCGCCACTCTATTTATCCCCACTCTTTTCTCGATCATCCTAAGCTCTCACCTCTCCAATATCATAAACCAGAAGATCATGGCTAGCCCTCACGCTGATGAAGACATCTTCAATATTTCTAGATTCTGACCATATAATAGCATCAACCTTTTTAAATATTATTACCCTAATCTATTCCTCGTTGCCATTTTCTCTAAGTTCCATCAGCTAGGCGTGAATATAAATGGCCTTCTCCAAAGAGCTTTCCATGAACTTACCACGATTTTTCTGCAAAGCTCTTTAGTGAAATCCATTTATATTCAGGCACAGCTGATGGAACTTAGAGAAATGACAGTGGGGAATAATTAACGTTATTAGCATTCAAATGGTTGATGTTATTATACAGTCAGAATCCAAGAAATCTCTGTTATAATAGTGAAGTCACTTGGGCAGACAAGCTTATGGGTTTAATGTTGATGTTAGGGCATTATTGTTAAGCTTATGGATTTATTGTTAACCTTAATGTTGTATAATAAAGCTTATTATGGATTAGTTGTCAAGGTTACAGATTGCATGTCAAGGTTAGCGCTGGGTTGTTAATTCACGTTTCGTTAATAAGGTTGTCTTGGATTGGTTGTTAAGGTTAGCACCTGGTTGTTAATTCACACTAATTAACGTTAATATAGTTTAGTGTGCAACTTGTAACGAGCCTATATAGTTTAGTGTTTTATTGTCATGTATATGGATTTGTTGCCAAGTATATCGTTATAAGTGTTAAGCTCATGGCTTGGCTGTTAAGGTTACTATTTGGTTGTTAGGTTTATTGATTGAATGTTATGTTTACTATTTGGTTCACTTACACTTGGTTGTCACGGTCATCGAGATATATTTTCTGCTACTATATTTAATGTATTTTCTAGTTCCCAAGGAGGATAGTTAAGATAACCTGGACTCCTATCTATCCCCACAACCCACATTCCATGCGGCAACATCACTATCCCTTCGCCTGTTCAACTACATGAAAGGTATGCTAACCTTTCGGCGTAATTTTCCTCGATCTCCCCATCGCCGACTCTCTGTTGACCTTCTCTCCTTTATATGTAAATCCCAAGCTTTTACCCTCTCTGTAAAACCTTTAAGTTCTCATGTCGCCATTAACCAGAAGATCAATGCTAGTCCTCACGGCGATGAAGATCATAGTGACAAGGACGCACGCTGATGAAGATCTTGGATATCCCTCATGCTGATGAAGACTCCCCCTCGCCCTCTTTTTTTTAGATCGTGAAGATCAACCTTTTGAATGTTAATACTGTTATCTTTATCCCCTATTGTATTTGCTCTAAGTTCCATCAGCTATGGGTGAATGTATGTGGCTTTCTCCAAAGAGTTTGTACATTAACGCCCAGTTATGATTTAAAAGTGCAGTGAATACAATCAAGTCAAATGGGTCATGCGTGAATCATATAGGAAGGTAGGCATAGGCTGGTGGAGATAGTCCTCTGGCTTACGTTAACATTATATAGCTATAAAGTGTTAACGTAAGCCAGAGGACTATCTCCACCAACATATGTCTGTCTTTCTATATCAACAAACAATTTACTTCTAATGTTGTTTGTCTAGTGTTTGTGTTTTTGTATTAATTGTAGACAAACAACAAGTTGGAGGATTGATGGATTGCACCATAACGATCATATCAAATGGAGGTTGGCGGAATAGTGGTTACAGCTTTGTTATTCAAAGTTAAAGATCCAAGTTCAAGCTTCATCCAAGTTTACCAAGTTGAGCTACAATAAAGATTAAGATCAAGCTTGGGTAACATTAGTTTAGGTTTATATTATGCATGTTAGTACTTTAAGCTCAATCATATATACACACACATTATATTGGTTTCCTTGTATATATATAGTTATCATACATATACATATATGTTTCTATGTATATATATAGTTATATATATACACATACATAGTTTTGAGTCTTCATGTTTATAAGTATGAAATTACATATTTCACATTTATTATTCTGTTTTGGTTTAGCTATATAGATATGAAATAAATTTATATTCATATATATAATCATATGTTTCATACTCTATTTTGTTTGAGAATATATTGCATAGAATATGCAATTTTGATAAAATATTATTTTCATGGTTTATGGACTTAACAGTCATTCAATAAGTCTACAAAATAATTTTGTAAAGTTTCAAAACATGGTTTAGCCAAAATGTCAAAATTCATTTGTGTTCACATTTTCATGTTTTGGACTATTTTGCGAAATAATAATATTTCTCATTTGGGAGGCTCTTTTTGAAAACCAGTTTTTATAGCATGTTTATTATCATGTCTACAATCATATTCCAAAGTTTCATAATTTTTGGAATTTATTTGATATTTTTTAACATGGTTTTTAGTTGAGTTTTTCTATGCACTTCAGGTCTATACATGTTTAGTCGACTCATAAGTTGACTTACAAAGTGCAGCGGAGTTATGATTTTTCTTCTGCTGAGTCGACTCATATTAGCCGACTCATTAGTCGACTCATAAGTCGACTCATGAGTCGACTCATAAGTCAACTTATGAAAGAGCCGTTGCACAGTAACGGCTAGTTTTCAGCAGTATTTTTTGGGGGCTTTTTTTGGTCTTTTTCTTGTGGTTTTTGCTAAAGTTTTAGGTTCCTATAAATACCCCATTGCTCTCATTTTTTTGTTTAACCAAGAGAATGTTTTAACAAAGTTTTAACAAGGGTTTAAAGTTTAGTTTAAGTTTGTTTAAAAAGCTTTTAAGCAGCATTTTCGAGTTTGAGTTTATGAATTCAATTCCACAAGAGCTTGAGGAGATCATCTATTAGAGTTTGAGCAATCAACTATTCTCCCTCCATCTCTTGTCATTTATTGAGAAGTTTTCTAAACTCTTTTCTAGCTTTATATTTATTTGTTTGATTATCATCTTATTAAAGCTAGTTTTATATTGAGTTTAGATTTAATTAATCTCATTGTTACACACACTCACTTGAGCTTATTGTATTTGTATTCATAATATATTTGGGGTTGTGAGAGATAGTAACATTGAGTTGAGCCTAATTGAGTTCTCACCTTGTTTAGAGAACAATCATTTATTGTGCTTAATTTGTGAAGTTCACTTTGTAATACACTTGTACATCGAGAGGAGTGTGTGGTGAGGACGGAGTCGATACCAAGAGGAGTGGCGTCAGTGGCCTAGTGAGAGGTGATAATTCCGAGCACTTGAGGGAGTCGATACGTGAGGACCAACACTTGAGGTTGTAGCTTGTGTATGTACTTTGTGAGAATTTGTGAGAGTTGTCAGTTGACTTGATAACCGAGTGTGTAGAGTTTTCGGTTAGCTTGAAAACCGAGTGTGTAGAGAAGTTCCGGCTTCTAAATCGGGTTGTGTAGTGGATTCTCCCCGGGAGTGGGGAGCGGAGACGTAGGACAGAAGGTCCGAACTCCGTGATCATTTCCTTGTGTTTGGGTTTGGCATTGGCACATTTATTATTGCATATTGTTATATCGCCATTGTTGCATGATCATATTGTTTACCCTTGTTTATATTGTATATCCTTGCACATATCTTGTAGCAATCATACTTGCTAGGATATATTTGTTAATTAGTTTAATTAGCATAAAATCGGATTAGATTAGCATAAACCCTATTCACCCCCCTCTAGGGTTCTTTCCTAGCGGTTTTAGGGCCTAACAATTGGTATCAGAACTTGGTGGTCTTTGATTTAAGGACTAATCGTCTTGAGTTAAAGATC